TGGAAATCAGCCTGTCAGTGACAAGGAGGGCCACGACCCTCCCCCTATATATAGGGCTGTTCCTGCACTGACAGGTTATTCAAAAAGATTATCACCTCTTCCTCGCAACGTTAGAGCAAGGAGGGTGACTTGGTGAGACACTCATGCTACTCAGAGAACTGGGGTTACGACAGTAACTTAAAGTTCTCTTTCATAGCATTCGTTTCGTGTCTCACATTGGGAACAAAAATATACTGACTCCTGTATTGCTCAGCAGACTTCACTACATGCCAGCTGATCAGAGCATCACTTCTTCTGTGCACTTGGTGCTACACTCAGAACTGAATGAGCCAGTGATGGTGCTGTGACCAAGTTTATAAAACCGAGCAAACCTGCTGCACAAATTTCCTGAAGGGACACCCCTTTAAGCAGAGCCCATGAAGAGCTTAAGCCCCTGGTGGAATGGGCACGCAGGCCCTCAGGAGGCTGCAGGCCATTTGAACTATATGCTAAGGCAATCGCACCAGTGATCCAGTGAGAAAACCGCTATTTTGTTACCGGTTTCCCGCACTGATTTTTAGCCCAAGAGACAAACAGTTGGTCACTTTTTCTGACCTGTTTCGTCCTGTCCATGTAGATACATAAAGCACGTACTGGGCAGAGTTTGTGTAGCCTCTCCTGCTCCTCAGAAGAGAACGGAGGATGATTAAAAGCCACTAACTCAATAGGAGAGTAAGAACCCAACACCTTAGGCTCAAAAGCAGGGTTTGGGAGCAGGATCACCTTAGAATTGTCCAAAGAGAATTTTGTGCGGGATGGGTGAACTGATAAAGCATGAATCTCACCCACACGCTTAGTAGAGACAAGTGCCAGCAAAATTGCTGTTTTCAGCGCTACCAACTTTAACTCCACCTGATCCAGAGGCTCGAAGGGCGAAGTAGTGAGAGCCTCCAGTACCAGAGGAAGGTCCCATGTAGGGGGTCATAGGTTTTGAGACAGGCAGTTTTCTGTGAGCCCCCTTCATAAACTGACCTACTAAAGGATGTTGGCCTGCTGTTTTTCCCTCGAAGCCTATGTGGCAGGCTGAAATAGCCGCCAAATAAACTTTGGCGGAAAAAGCTTTTCCCTTATCAAATCAGGTTCTGTAAGAAAGAAAGTGACAGCTACAGAACACTGATAAGGAATCTCCTGAGAGTCGGTGCACTATTTCTCAAAAATGGACCATTTGCACTCATACAGAGATCTTGTTGCAGGTGCCCGTGCATTCTGTATGGTCTCAATTACATTGGTTACAATTACACATGGTGACCTTCCAGGAGAGGAAGGAAGTGTTTTAATGTTAGCTGAACAGCTAGCAGCTCCAAATAATTTATGTGGAAGGACCGCATTTTTGGGCTCCAAGACCCATTCACAGTTTTCCCTTCGCAAATACCTCCCATCCTGTCAGGGAGGCATCTGTTGTGATAACCTTCCTGTTTTGTACAATCCCCATTGGCACACCCTGGGTCAGGGTGCTGATATCTCACCAGGGGCGTAGGGCTGCAGCACAGGCAGCTGTGACTCTCACTTTGTGAGAAATGTGTGAACTCAGCCTCAGCTGAGAAGCCACCCAGCGCTGTATCCCTCTCATGTGGAGACGACCTAGTGGGACCACCACCAGCGCTGAAGCTATTAGCCCCAAGAGTCTGCGACAGAGTCTGAGTGTAACTCTGTTTCCTCTGTGAAACATGGACAGGCAGTCCATCACAGTTTTTACTCTGTCTTCTGTCAGCCTCACTCTGGCCTGGACTGAGTCCAGGGAGAGACCTATGAAAGAGAWGTTCTGAGAAGGACGCAGAAMAYTCTTTTCCATATTTATTTTGAAGCCCAGCTCCATCATGTGCTGTGTTAATGCAGCTGTGTGATTCACAGCCTCCTGCTGGGAGGGTGCTGCGACCAGCCAATCRTCTAYATACATGGCCACTCGGATGCCCTGCCTTCTGAGCGGACCCACCGCCGCCTCTGTGCATTTCACAAACACTCTCRGGCTCAGTGAGAGTCCAAACGGGAGTAYGAGGTAWTYGTAACATTTTCCCTCAAATGCAAACCTGAGATATTTCCTGTTTGGCGGATATATGGATATATGAAAATACGCGTCCTTGAGGTCGATTGATGTAAACCAATCGCCGTGACGCAGGAAGCGCAGCAGGGAGGCGTGAGTCAGCATCTTGAATCTGTATTTTCTCAGATGCTKGTTCAGAGCCCRGAGGTCTAGAATAGCCCGCATTCCGCAGCCACCTCTCTTCGGCACGAGGAAATAACGTGCGTAAAATCCCTCCCRGCTGCKCTCGGGAGGAACTAAGCTGATTGCTCTTTTTTCTAACAGCGAAGAAATCTTTTCTTGTAGAAAAAGAGCAGCTTCTCCCTCTGCTTGTGACTGAATCACTCCGTTGTAACTCAGTGGGGGGGGGCTGCAAACTGTAGCCTGTAACCCCTTTTTATTAATTTCAAAACCCACTCTGAGTTTGTACATTCTGTCCACTTTTCCAGCTGCACCGTCAGGCGGCTGGCCAACCAGTTTGTTAAACACGGGCGGAGACTGCCCTCTAGCGGCTTTGGATTGGAAAAGGTTTCGACCTGCAGTGCGCATGCGCGTGGACTTAGGTTTTTCACAGTTCTGTCCGATTCGGGGAAGAGTCTTTCTCCTTCTGAAAAAGGAGGGACTAAATCCCCGAATTGGCTCATGTTTATGTTTTTCAACATTTTTATTTTTAACTGTGCCCTCGGCTTGAAGCCTGGATGCGACAGTTTGTAAACATTTATTTCTTTTTGACAAAAGATAAATGTGCTTGTGTGACGCTGCTGAGGGCCGCTGCGGGGTTCCTCGTGAACATYGCRTCCTGTGAACTTCGTGGCGCGCTGAGCAGGCTCGAACATCCTCTCGGACACGCACGGAACTTTGCTGAACAGAACTGTGGAGGGAAGAGATTCCAGCTCGTTCCCTCCATCCATGGAGGTCAGGCCAGCCGTTTCCTCCTGACCACCTGAGTGGAGGTGGGTGGTGGCGGTAGGTCGGGGCGGGGGCCCTCGGGCTTCCGCTGCCACAGGACTTTAAAGGGTTTTTGCGGCGCTTGTGGGGCTCCCTGGACCTTTGGCAGTTTTGGGATCCTAAAGGTGGGGGGCAAGCGTGCCGCGGCCTGAGCGAAGGTTTGACGCTGCGGCGGTGGAGCTGCGGTGGTGGAGGCGAAGGTGCGCCTGGACAGCTTCAGGGCCTCGTCGTCTCTTTTCTTTTCCGCCCACCTCTTTTGCATCGAGGTGACTGCGGAGCCAAACAGACCCTGCGGAGTGATGGGAGTGTCGAGGAGGTCCTCCTCTTTTGTGGAGAGTGGTGAGATTCAACCACCTGGCCCACTCCTGCAGAACCATCAGCCCCATGGTTCTCTGCCCATAGCCTGGATCGCCACTTTGTGCAGCTGGAGACAGTGGTCCGTGATGATGCAGACTTTGTCCCACAGAGCAGTATCTGATGAGGCGGTCATCTGCTCCTCTAGCTTCGCCTGATACACCATGAGCATGGAAAGAAGCATTCAGAGCCCGGACTGACAGTGCAGCCGCTTTATAGGACAGGCTGGACTGAAAATGGTCTGTTCTGGAGGGGAGAGCGGGGCCACCTGCCGACATGGAAGTCTTCGGGTGCAGGTGCGCCGCGACCGCAGGCTCGACTGGAGGTATTTGGCGGAGACCGCATTTTTCCATGTCCACACAGTCCAGCACCGAGCTGCCCGCCACCGGGTGCTTCTCCTTGAAAGGCTTGCTGCGCCAGGAGATGGACAGTTCTTCCAGCAGCTCGGGGGAAAACGGCAGGAGCTATTTGCCTGTTTTCTTTGCTTTAGGCAGCTTCTTTCCGTCGAAACATGAACGGACCGCCTCAACTTGGACCTCAGGCCACTGGATGTCGAGCTTCGCAGTGGCGCATTTACACACATCGTGCAGGTCTAAATCCAGCTCTGGCGAGGATGGGTCTTCATGACCGGGTCGGCCCGCATCAGAAAGAGCAGATTTTACAACCTGTCCTGACTGCTGGGCAGATGGATCATAATCCTCCTCGTCATCTGAGAAAGGGAGCTCTGAGTCATCGGAGAGCTTGCCTCCTGCCAAGTAATCCAGCGAGCTCGAAGTGAGAGCCTGCTCCATCGTTTCGGATGGAAGCGGGTCTGCAGTTTCGAGCAAGTCGCCCCATCTTGTTCCAACTTCAGGTTCAGAGACCTGGGCAACCACCGTGTCGGCTGGGTCCTGTTCGGCAGCTGTCGAAGCCAGCACCGGGTCCCCGCTGGACAGTGTCAACTGACAGGCCAGACGACGACGGAGCACCTTGAGGGAGAACCGRCTGCAGTGCGCACACTCCTCCGCCGACTCAAGGGATGCTTAGGCATGTTTCAAGCCGAGGCACACCACACAGGTTGGGTGGGTGTCCCAGCTTGATATTTTATTGCCACACGGGCAGGCCCGTGGCTGTGGGCCCTCCACTGGTTTTGCTGAAGCCCCCGCGGCCTCCGTGTTCCAGGGAGATGTTTGAGCTGGTGACAGCTAGGCTAACCAGGTACGGCTAGGCTTGGGGGGGAGCGTTGCGACGTCCCGTTGGGGTAGCTCAAACCATTAAAGTATTGCTACTTTTTTATAGTATTGCTACTTATATAAGTATTGCTACTTATATAAGTATTGCTACTTTTTTTTTTGATGGTATTGCTACCGATAACCAGACACTCTGTGCGGTGCTGTGCTAACCCAGAGCAAAGCGCCCAGCGACCGCGCTTACGCACGAGTCTATGGACAGTTTAGCTAGGCTCTGAGAAGAGGCAGTACCTGGAGAGAGCTGGTGGAACTTCTGCTCGTTTCAAGAAGAGATTTTTGAATAACCTGTCAGTGCAGGAACAGCCCTATTTATAGAGGGAGGGTCGTGGCCCTCCTTGTCACTGACAGGCTGATTTCCAGCAAATCCTGGCTGGCGTAATGTAATATGAGCTTCTGATGAGATCACGCCGAAGGCGTTCCCAATGTGAGACACGAAACGAATGCTATGAAAGAGAACAACAGTTTTTAACTTTGGGGGCCAAAGTTAAAAACTGTTGTTCATGTGAGGCCCTCAAGGTGGCGCTTGTGGGCTGCGGCCCATGGGTTAAGAATGTCTGTGTTAAACTATTTTAAAGCAGCTATTTATAAAACTACAATCTCAGGTACATGGAGAAATATAGACTTTCCAAGATTAACAGTAAACAAATTGACCAGTACTGTTCTAATTTTAAATATAATTTTACAAATTGCCAAACTGGCCTAAAGGTCACAGTTTCTATATTTTGTATTCATAGATATGCTTTCAATGTTTGTTTGCAGTGTACTCACCCTTTTTTAGCATGTAGGCGCAAAACCAAGAACATGTAGGTTTGAAGGAACAGAGTATTTGGATGCATCTGCGATCATCTCTTGATGTTTGTTTGTGTTCTGACTTGTTTGTGTTCTATCCTGATGTTTCTGTTTTTGCTTCATCTTGATTATGTTTCTGTATTTGTGTTCCAACTTGTGTCACAGGAGGAGGAAGCATTTACAAAGGCTGCTATGGACAAGGTGCAGGGCAGTTACCTGCACTCACTTCAGGAGGTGGCAGATCTGCTTAAAAAAAGAGCAGAAACTGTAAAGAACCTCAAGATCTGAACATCATCACACACTTCAAACTGATGAGGACTGTGTACCCCATCGTCATGTCACCCTTTGCCGGCCTGTGTGTCCTTGGTACTGGACTCTGTCATGTTCTGTTGTTTCTCACTTGCGCTGTTTGTTTGTTTTTATTCTCCCCACATTGACACAAACCTCTGAAGCATCTGCAGCTATTAGACCACATAAGCCTGTAGGTAAACTCCTAAATTTATACAGCTGTAATTCAGGCATATTGATACCTTAAATAATTATTTTTAGATTATTTAGGAAGAGTAAATCCAGTTTTATCCCTAATAAATTATTGTACATAATGAAGAAAAGACACAATGTTTGTTGACTTATGCCTTTATCTCTGAAGAGAAATGTTTTTCCATCTGTTTCTCTGCTTAAAAAGCAAACTGGCAGAATTCTTCTGATGAACACCTGGAAATGCAAACGTAACTCCCAGTCTAAACCCTTAGGACTGACATTTACTTCTATCAAATCGTTTTGTTTGTCTTTTTTTGGTTTTGAGTACTATGTGTGATGCTTTGAACCACCTCTGTAGTTGCAGTATTAGAAAGAGATCAGCTAAATATTCTTTTGTTTTACTTTATTTTATTTTATTTTTTATTGCCCCTTTACCTCATCTCTGGTGTTAGTAAACAAACTCATTGAGGAATCTGGAGTTTGATGCTGAAAGGACAAGTATGACCTGCAAACAAAGAGTTAGATCTGTGCATGTTTTTTGAATCACAAAGTATTTCATTAAACATGAACAGATTTTATTTAAACTTTTATAAAGTAATGCTTGGACATAAAACACCACTTGACATTTGGAGTTAACCTAATTGAAAATGCTCTCATTTCTCTGTGTGTACGTTTTTGCTATCTTGTGGGGACGACTTTTGGCCATTGTCCTGGTACACACAGCCTGGTCAGGACCCACTGTTCCAGTTTCAATGGCAGAGATATCGTTTGTGGGTCAGGGGTTTGGTTTAGGACCAAGGTGTGAATTGAGTTTAGGTTAGTTTTGTACCTGTGAGGTTAACTTTAGGGTAGGGTCAGTGTTAGGCTTTAGAAATCACCAGTAAATGAATGAAAATCAATGCAAAGTCCTCACAAGGACAAAACAACAAACGTACGTGTGAGCATGTGTGTGTGTGTACTTATTTTTACTACATAGTGAGGACCATTTGTAACACAGTTACTATCAAAATGAGATCTTTGATGTAAAGTGAGGACCTCTTCAATGTCCACTGTATTTGCAGCTCTGCTGTGCTTTACTGGTTGGGTTTAGAGGTATGGTGTGGATTAAGTTTTGGTTCAGGTTAGGAAAAGACCATTAATGGTTAGTTTTAGGGAAAATGTCTGGGTTAGGCATAAATACAGTTACAAAAATGAATGGAAGTCAATACAATGTCCTCTGTTTGATGCAAGTACGTGTGTGTGTCTGTGTACATTTTTATTACTTGGTGTTGAAAATATTTGACCATTTTCCTGGTACACACAGCCTTATGAGGAGCTATTGTTCCTTATGGGGACAAAAGCCTGATCCCCATGAGTTCAAAGTCTGGTTTGAGGGGGTGGGATTAGGGTGTGAATTGAGTTTAGGTCAGGGTGGTTAGGTTTAAGGTAAGGGGTCACGGTTAGGCTATAGAAATGACCAGTAAATGAGTGGAAGTCGATGCAAAGTTCCTATGACAACAGAAGAAAACATATGTTTGTATGTAGTGACCCTCCCACCCTCGTGTGTGGTGACCAGATTAACAGCATCCACTATCGAGGAGTCATCAGTCTTTTTAATGTATTGTCCACAAGAACTTGTTTTTAACAGCAGATGAAGCAAAATATTAAAATGGTCTTTCTATATTTTCTTTTTTGTTTTGGTCATACTTGTTCACACTCCTCTTTCTTCCAGAACTCCAAACTAAAATCTTATTGTGCTTTAATAGTTGCACTGTTACAGACCTCACCATGGAGCATTAGTAGATGACTGTTGGTACTTTATTTGGATTTCTTTTACTTTTTAAGACCTTGGAAGAGTAGTTTAAAAAGTAAGCAATAGCCTTTGCCTCCACACTCACTGGAAGTCGAATCTGTTGAACCAGTTCCTAACATGTGTTTTTTAATACGTTAAAAAGTCAATGCTAGTCTGTCTTTGCAGAGAAGATGTGGCTGCACACAATATTTTGTATGTGTTGAGGTCTAAAATGATGGATGACAATCTGAACTGTTGTCTCATTGCCCTTTTATTAGAAAATGGAAAACAGAAACACTGGAATGTCAGATTTTTTTAATAAAAAGGGTAAATGTGAAACTGCTGTGCATTTTTTTCTTTTTTACATGATTATAATGCACTTTATTTTTTACCAAAATTCTGTATGAATTGGAGCTTTTTTGAGAGTTACTAATGTAAAGTGCTCTGCAAATTAAATTACTACTCCCACCAAGGAGATTGTTTTCAGTACCATTGGTTTGTTTCATACGTTTATCCGTACACAAGATTTCATAAAGGTTTGAACAGGTTTTTATTTATAACTTTTTCAAAACAGAAAAAATATATATCCACTGTGCTTCTATATAAACATACCTTGTTATCAGATTGTCAAACCAAATTATAACAATGCCTTGTACAGCCAATTATGTAATGTAATAAAATCAGGCTTCAAAATATTAAAACTGCATTATGTAATAATCAGCACAAAATGTAATAAATTCCTTGAACGCATTTTTGCAATCCTTTCAACCGCATTCTCTCCGGGTACTCCGGCTTCCTCCCACAGACCAAAAACATGACTGTTAGGTTAATTGATAACTAAATTGTCCCTAGGTGTCAGTGAGAGAGTGAATGGTTGTCTCGTTTGTTTCTGTGTGGCCCTGTGATGGACTTACAACCTGTCCAGGGTGTACTCTGCCCCTTGCAATGTGACTGCTGGAAATGGGCACCAGTGACCCCAGAAAAAGAATAAACAGGTATAGATGGATGTTACAAAATGCAGAGGTTGAGCTTTCTTTTGAAATGACAATATGACACATTATATGGTAATGTATAATTGACTTGCAACCTATCCAGAGTGTATCCCGTGCCTCGCACAGTTACTGCTGGACTTGGTCACCAGTGACCCCTGTGTCCCTGAAGGGAAGAAGTGGATATAGATAATGGATGGATGGATGATGTAATAATGTGCGTTATGTAATAAACAATCACAAACCAGTGTTTGTGTTCATCCTAGTCGGTATATGTGTAATAATGATCATGTTGCAGATGCACTAAATAAAACTGGTCAATAAATACCAACTTTTTTAGCATTTACTTGCCTATTAAATTGCCTATGAAATGCCTATCATTCAAGGCAAAACAATCAAGACAAGAGGAAGTCATCCCCTACAGCACCGGTGAACATCCAGGGAAAAGACATTGAGACAGTGGACTCTTACAAGTACCTGTGTGTTCACCTCAACAACAAGCTGGACTGGACTACAAACAGACATCTTGTATAAGAAGGGCCAGAGTCGACTCCACCTACTGAGGAGGCTGAGGTCCTTCGGTGTCTGCAGGACTCTGTTAAAGATATTCTAGGACATGGTGGTAGTATCTGCCCTTTTCTATGGAGTGGTCTGCTGGGGGGCTGGATGTACTGAAAGGGACAGGAACAGGATAGACAAACTGGTACGGAAGTCAAGCTCTGTGCTGGGGTGTCGTCTGGAGCCTGTGGTAGTGGTGGGTGAGAGGAGGATGCTGGCAAAACTGACAACCATCATGAACAACCCCCACCACCCTCTGCATGAACCGGAGGAGGGCTTCAGAGACTAAAACATCCTTGCTGCAGGACAGTGCACTTCCATAGGTCATTCGTTCGACTGTATAACACATCATGATGTTATCAGTCACTTGGACAATTCACCTACACTGTCATCACTAATATGCACCTTCATATACTTTCATTTATTTACTGTACTATACTGTATTTACAGAGATTAGACAATAAAACTGAAACACCTGGTTTTAGACCAGAACATCCCTTTCAGACAGCTTCCTCTTGTGTCAACAGTTCATCCTGTTGGATGTGGTTGGTCCTTCTTGGTGGTATGCTGACATTACCCTGGATACTGTGGCTCTTGATACATCACAAAGACTTGCTGTCTTGGTCACAGATGCTCCAGCAAGATGTGCACCAACAATTTGTCCTCTTTTGAACTCTGATGTCACCTAAAATGTTGTGCATTGCAATATTTTGAGCAAATCTGTGCTCTTACCCTGCTAATTCAATTCAGTTCAGTTTATTTGTGTAGTGTCAAGTCACAATACGTTGTCTCAGAGCACTGTACATGAAAAAAGAATAATCTAAAGAAGTCAGCAGATTGTGTTGAATCCCTTCATCACAGTCTCCCATCCTGAGCAAACAGTGGAGAGGAAAAACTCCCTGCTAATCAGGAAGAAACCTCCAGCAGAACCAGGCTCAGGACAGGTAATTAAATTAGATAATTAAATTAATGTGACAAATTATCCTAAACTGTTTGGTCAGGAAGGCAGGAAGGGACCCATATGCAGGCAAGCAGGCTCAAAGCAAAAATATTTATTAAATGAAAAGCCGACATGGCAGCAGCAAAAATACAAAACAAAAAACTGGAATGAACGAGAGGGAGCCAGGGCAGAGAACCAAACAATGATTGGATGAAGGTGGAGAGAAAATAAACAGAATACATACTCAGCGGATAAGTGGAAAGTGGAGACAGCTGAGATGGTTACAAGTAGGGGTGTAAGAAAATATCGATACACTGAAATATTGCAATATTTCATTTCCCGATACTGTATCGATATTCTAAAGCCCTGTATCGATTTTTTATTAAGGTTTAAAATGTTAACTTTCCTGCCAGCCATTCATTTTTATGTTGTAGTTCAGCCTCTGACCACTAGTTGGCAGCAGTGAGGCAGCCGTTTGGCTCCTCTACCTCTTGAGGTAGAGGCTATTGTTAAGTGTTGGGTGACCATATTTTAAATTAATATTAACAACTAAAAGCTGCAAAAAATATATTTTCAAACTATTTATTGTCAAATTTAGTCTAATAATTGAAAACATGGATGAAATAAGAAATATGAAACAAATAAAATAAAACACATACAAAGCAGAACACAGTTAAATGTATCAAAAGTATGTCTATGTAATATTAGAATTTTCTGAGACAAAGAATTTTGGTTTTTCATTTTTTTCCCTGTAAGAGGTTTTTATTTAATAGAATTTTGGGGGTAAAAAAATCGCAATATATCGCCTTGCTTAGTATCGCAATATATCGGGATATATCATATCGTGACCCCTCTGTCATGATATGTATCGTATCGCCAAATTCTTGCCAATACACAGCCCTAATTACAAGTGCAGGCAGGTGTGAAAGAAAGATCAAGAATGAACAGAGTAACTGAGGGCTGACACAAGAGTTATGACACGAAGAAGGCACATGGAGACAGCACATCATAAAACACAAAGCACACGCAAGATTGTGCCCTGACTTGAACATTAAGTGACTCAACGCGACATCGTTCATGAGTAAAATAAAAGTTTATCCGTTAAGAACTATAAAAATTGTATCATACGCATCTAAAACAAATATTTCTACTAAACATTTTTTGTTAAAATAAATTCTGTCTCAAAAAATAGTGGCGGGGCGGCGCCCTCTAGTGACCAGCCGCCTCTTGTTTCGATACGTCTGGAGTTTTGTGTGGAAAACGATGTACGCAAGGTTTTTGTGCGTATGCACCGTTGATACGAGGCCCCTGCTCTGGAGCAGCAGGTGACGCGTTCTGGAATGAGGCTTTTTAAATAAACCAGTTTTGAGAAAAAAAGGTCATCTTTTGTGCACTGCAGGAGAAATGCCCACCTGCTTAAAAAAAAAGCAACTACTCAAAAATACATTTGTCTTTTTACATCAGTAACTTCATGTGTAGAATTTCAATAGTGTAGCAGTACTTTGAGTGGGTTATTTTAATACTGTCCACCCATCACTGGTCCAGTAGAAGCCATGACGGTGTGGTGATAGGGGTGTAAGAAAATATCGATACACTGAAATATCGCGATATTTCATTTCCCGATACTGTATCGATATTCTAAAGCCCTGTATCGATTTTTTATGAAGGTTTAAAATGTCAACTTTCCTGCCAGCCATTTATTTTTATGTTGTAGTTCAGCCTCTTGACCACTAGTTGGCAGCAGTGAGCCAGCCAAATGGCTGGCTCACTGCTCTACAACATAAAAATGAAAGGCTAGTTGGCAGCAGTGAGCCAGTCATTTGGCTCCTCTACCTCTTGAGGTAGAGGCTATTATTAAGTGTTGGGTGACCATATTGTAAATTGATATTAAAAACTAAAAGCTGCAAAAAATATACTTTCAACCTATTTATTGGCAAATTTAGTCTGATAATTGAAAACATGGATGAAATAAGAAATATGAAACAAATAAAATAAAACACATACAAAGCAGAACACAGCTAAATGTATCAAAAGCATGTCTATGTAATATTAGAATTTTCTGAGACAATGAATTTTGGTTTTTCATTTTTTTCCCCAGTAAGAGGTTTTTATTTAACAGCGTTTTTGGACAAAAAAATCACAATATATCGCCTTGTTTACAGTATCGCAATATATCGGGATATATCGTATCGTGACCCCTCTGTCATGATATGTATCGTATCGCCAAATTCTTGCCAATACACAGCCCCGTGGTGACAGTTGAAATCTCAGATATTTTGCTTGTTCAGCAGCCATTTATTTTCTTCCTGGTCATAAAAGATTAGTAAGTGGTATAAAAAAATTTTGAATAGAAAAAGACAGTGTAGAATATCTTTATTATGAAACCTGTGGGATTTTTCACAACTATTTTATATTTGTACAGACCCATTTAGAATTAACTGTGATGACAAAAAGAAACTGTAACAGGTCATGTTTTTCTTTTTCCCTTACAAAACTGTATCGTATTTTGTAACATGCAGTGCCTTAAATCTCTCTTGTTTGTAGTAATTAGAAATTTGTGTCTTCCAGGCAGCTGCATGTTACTAAAAACAATTCAGAATTAAAAATTTCAATTTGATATACAATTATATCTTTTGAAACCCCAAACCCTGACAAAAACAATCATAGTAAAATCAAATAAGAACACAGCAGTCATTAGGTGCCCCCTACCCCACCTCAATCAACTTGTAACACACATCAGTATTCAGCTACTTTTCTTTGGAGCTGCACATTAAATTGTTTAAAATCTGACCATTACTCAGCTCCTCAAATCCTTAGTCAAGTTTTTAAATTGCATTTAAATTAATGGTGGCTTAGAGAGCAGTTGTAATGGTGATCCTTCAGATACTTTGATGTATACATCAGGAGTGCAGTTTGTCATTTGAACATTAAAAATGGTCGGTGAACTGTGGCTTTGACACCAGGAACAAAACCCTTATATTCTCAGACAATAAGGTCTAATTTAATGTTCATTTGAAAATGTTTCTAGATAAATATTAAGCCCCACCCACTGCACTGGCAAATTGGAACTGGCAATTAACTAATTATTAAACAATTTAAAAAAAAAAAGATGAACTAGAATAAAATAAAATAAAATAAAATAAAAAACAAACTTATAAAGAAGGATTTAATCTGGTAACAGGAGAACACACATTCTTAAATCCAATCAGGTGTAGGCCTTTCTCATGTTAGCACTATCATTTCCAGAATGTAAATAACTGTCTTGATGTTGGAGGACATACGGGCATCATCTAAATTCTTTACACCACTCGTCGAACTTCAAAGAATCTCTTCAAGTAGTAAATCTGTCCAAGTGTCATCGCCACCAGAACCAGAGCTTCAAAAAAGGACCACAGGACCACTCTGCTGTTTGTGTTGTCATTGACTGGGGAGGAGCAAAAGACAGATGTTAAGACACTTTACTAAAATTAACTCTTATTTGTGCATTTGTGCTTACTTGCTCTGTGTATCCTTTCTCGGACTTCCATGTATTCCTGCTCATGCTTTACTGCCGTCATAGCAACTGCCAGCTCATTGATCATCTCCTCCAGTTTGTTTTGATGGGCTGAAATGGAAACCAATCCGTCACCAATCAGGACGCATGATTGTGAAAAAACAACATGCATCAGTTTTATTCAACACATGCAGAACATTTTCACACTTAGCAGGTGATTTTGCCACAACTGCAGGTTTAATTTTCACTGTGCAGGCTATCAAACATTAAACACTGCAGATTTAGAGTATAGAGGGTAAGCACATACATCACTGTTCTTTATGGAACTTTTAGGACACACCCACTGAGAGGCAAAACCTGGCATCTACTGAAAAGTTGTTGGACTGGGAGGATAAGTAAATTAACGAGGTAAAGGCGACACGCCCACTTCAGAAGATAGTCTACTGTGGTACAAGCACGACACAATCTTGTCAGGAGTGGGCTGTCAATGGAAACAATTTATCATGGCTAGATTTCTGAGCAGAACTGCGTACAAATATTAGTTTTTATCCAATTTTTCAACTATTAATTCATCATGGAGGAAATTTGACTTGCATCCAAACAATTCATTGTACGCTGAAAAAGGAAAACATGGACAGCAAGAATAGTGTTGAGATGTTTTATAAAAAAAAATTATACATGGATTGTTACAAATACTTGATGGTGGGCACATTTCTGATAATCTATTAATTGAGGAACTAGTCACTCATTAGGCGAGTTAGCTTTTTTGCTAACTTCAGAAACCATTAGTGGACAGATTAGCTTCTGCTAAATGAGGCCTGCTAATTTTAAGTCCAACAAAAAAATTCACAACTTCTATTTTTATGCCATTTATTCCTAATTAATTGGCCCTGTGATGGACTTGCGACCTGTCCAGGGTGTACCTCGCCCCTCACACAGTAACTACAGGACATGGTCACCAGTGACCCTGAACAGAAGTGAGCATAGATGATGAATGGATATTCCTAATTAAATAAAAACTATCCCCCTTACAAGCAGTGCTGCATGTGTCATGTACTGTGTGAGAATATAGAAAAAAAAGAAAAAGAAAGAAAATAACATTTAACAATATTTAAATACAAAAAATGATTATGTATAAAATATGGTAGAGAAGAACTTTTACATTTATTGTTCGACTAACTTCAGACAGCATTTATAAAAATAAACTCGATCAACAAAATGCTTTTAGTCTGAAAGGGTTAAACTGGATGTATCCCAAGTTAGACAGAGGTGTAAATCTGATTTGGATTGGCCAATTTTTTCCACAAATGATTCCAACCACCTTCCAATTAAACTACAGAAAACCAGTAACTGGTTTGCTTAAGGTCCACCAGTCTTCAACTGGAAAGAGATGAAGAAATGCAACAGGGACTGGTGGACACTTGTTTTAGAGGTTTGTGTTATCTTCCACTAATTTTGTAATCTGTTTAGTGGTTTAGCACAATGAGGTATAGGCAACACACCCGCTTCAGAATTTAGTCCATGGTGGTACGAGCACAACGTTGTCTTGTGAAGGGTGGGCTGTCAATGTAAACAATTGATCATGGCTAGATCTCAGAAGAGCTTTTTGTCCAATTTTTCTATCATTAATTCATCATGAAGGAAATTCGATTTGAATCCAAGACAAGAAGATATCAGATATAAGATATCACACGCTGAAAAAGGAAATCCTGGGAAGAAGAAAAAAAAGAGAATTCTTCAGTCTGAGGAGTTTCAGGCAAACTCAGCCTCATAACCTCTGCATGGTGGACAAACAGGTTTGACGATGTCAATAAGCACTCTTTGTTCACACACAAAAGTAGACCCTAAGCCTAACAATAGATAGTTAGGGCCCTGATTATCTAGATTACCTCTATTGAGAGGATCATGTGCACCCAAGGGTGTAACTTTCTGAAGGACTGGTGTGGACATGTCCCCACCAACTTTGGCCGGACAGGGACAGTCCCCACCAATATTTGCACATCTTTTTTCCTTTGCGTGCATCTACATTTCCTGACAGTAGGAAGCAACAACTGCTGTGTCTAACTTTTCCAGAAAAAAAAAAAAAAAAAAGTACGCTGCGCACCCTCCCTCCCTCCTGCTCCTCATCTCTCTCATATCACACTGCAGAAGCTGCTGGGAGCCTGCTACACCTTCCACTTCACCACCTCCCTTCCTTTTCTCTGAAGTGTGAGGACACACACTCGTGCGCGCAGACACACACATGCACACACATATGCACGCACACTCGCACGCGTGCGGTGGGGGCGTGCTAGCTGCCTGCTGTAAAACAACGTGGTGGTCAGAGCTTCAGAGCTACTGGAGCAGGTAATGGTCTGATAACGTCCAGCTGCTGGAAAAACTTTATTCTTTACAAAGGACCAAAAAATAAGTGAAAATGTAGGACAGCACTGTTATTTTTCTTATGAAAAGTTAGCTTGCTGCTAGTTATCTATCAGCTAGTGTTAGCAATCACTTAATGATGACATTATTATTGAGTTTTTTTTTTTTTTTTTGGTAAATCAGTTAAACTCTATTTTAATGCTAAGACTGAGTCCAGGTCCACTCTGATATTTATTGATTCCCTGTTATAATTTACATTCATAAAGTCACAGATTATTTCTCTAATTAAATATACCAGCTTCATGATTTACACGTTATTTACTTGACTTTTTAAAGCTGACTGAATTCAGGTGGCAGTAAAACCGTAACACTTAATCTATCTGTTGATGTACAGGTGCTGGTCATAAAATTAGAATATCATGAAAAAGTAGATTTATTTCAGTAATTCCATTTAAAAAGTGAAACTTGTATATTATATTCATACATTACATACAAACTCATATATTTCAAATGTTTATTTCGTTTAATTTTGATGATTACAAATGACAACTGTTGTGGAATACTTATTATGTATCACCTGGACACTGTCCACTTGTTCCTGTGCCTGTTCCTGTTCCTGAAGAT